GAGTGACTTTGAGGACCTTCAGGAAAAGGCTCGCCGTCGACACCGAGAAGAAATGGCTCGGCTGACTGACGAAGACGCGATCAACACCGACACTACCAGATCGCGAGACCTTCGAACACTTGCTCCGATGGAGGCCGTGTACATTGAGCCATCACGACAAGTCAGCGCCAAGGACTTCTTCTCTCTCGACTTGGAACACTCCAATGGCCAGCGCCTCGAGTGCCAGATTGAGTTGGTACACCGAGATAACCAGCGTTATCCTGAAGATAAGGGTGATATCCTGATTCGTGAAAATGGAGTCAAGGGTCGATCATATCTTCTATTCCCTCCTGTACCTATTGAGTTGATCTCAGCTAGGACAGGAGACGGCAACCTTGACATGGTTGTTATGATACGAGGCACACACAACGATAGACCGTGGCACGAGCTACTCACACTCACCACTGACAACGAAGATCAAATCTTGGACTGGCTCGATATCCTTCCAGTTTCACCTGTCCCCCCCAGAGAACCAGAACCAAGTATAATCGACGACGAAGAGCCATACTCACAATCTCGAATGCCAGATGTCCCAGTTGGCGTTCGAGGATCTTCCCGCAAATACTCTGCCCAATCTCTGCGGAACTCACACTCTCGCCGCTCATCTGCTGCTGAATCTCCTCCAGCCAGCCCAACTACACCGAAGCGAGCATTGCCATCCAGATACCGACCTCGATCAGCATCTCCAGCAACTCCTCCTGCTATTAAGTCGCCCGACCAGTATGATCTGCAGAGGACACCAACACAATATGACTACGGTTATGAGGACAGACCAATGACCTCACAGAGCATGCAACCTGATCCCCTCAACATACGCAAGAGCCCAAGTAGTTCATCCTATCGAGACGATGGCGCGCCACCACCTCCAGCTCATCGAACCTTCAGTCCCAGCCCTAGTCAACAAACCCCTTCTAAGCCTAAGTTTTCTAAACCACCACCTCTTGAGCCTCCCAACAGCAGCCGGGTCAAACGCCGTACATCATCTCCGCTCAAGCACGAATACCTACCTTCAGACCAGTCATCAGTGTCTGGCACTGATATCACGGGCAGCTACGAAAATACTGAAGATGACTACACCGAATCAGACTACAGCTATGATTCCTCGGATGATGACATTGAGAGCCTTGATCTCCCGGAAACTGAGCTAGGAGTTAGCATCAGAGATGAGCACCCAGCTCGAGACGTTATTAGAGAGGAACTGGAACATCAACTGGAGACACTTGAAGAGGAAGGATCTCTTCACGACCACCACCAACGACATGAACTCCACGAATCCATCGTATCTGGCTCAATCGATAGCCTGGCTCCATCAAACTCCGCCTCCCAGGCTGGCCTCCACGGACAAAAGGTTGCCCCCGAAGAGAATGCTACAAGATACGTGGCTACTATTTCCAGGTGGTCCGACAAGGGAATGTGGAAGGACATTTCTGGAGGCAACCTTGAAGTCATCGTCACTCCAGGTTTGATCGAGGCGTATGTCGTACATAGCGGAGCTGAGCAAGGAGATAAGCCAATGCTCGCACTCGACCTCACCCCGCTCGTCCTGATCCGCCAGAGTACGGCCCTCGACCTCGAAATCCGCTCATCAGTCCGATCAGACTGCCAGCTTGCCAGCTCACACGGTGGAGGAAACTTCCGCTTCCGATGCCACAACGGACCTGACTGCTATAACCTTTACATGTCAGTTCACCACGCTCGTCTCAACAACCAAAAATTCATCGAGCTTGAGAACGAAGCGCGATTCAGAAGCTTTGGTGAGCATAAGCCACCCCCTGACAATGATGACACAAGCAGTCGACGACGAAGCTGGTTCGGCCGTAAGAACAGCTACCGTGGTTCAGTTCGTGCCCCTGCTCAATCCCACGACGGCGCAAGCACTACTCCTTCATCTACTCTCTCCGCCTCTAGCTTCCTCAAGAGACTCACTGGTCGCGGCCTTCCTTTCAGTCTGGCTCGCTCCTCTGTTAACCGAAACAGCCGCTATGGTGGCACCAACACTCCCGGATCCTCATCTTATGGCGGCAACACACCTCGCTCGCCCTCAATCAGTGTTGAGAACAGCGGTCGCGGCCCCGCAAGCTTTGGTACTGAAGACCTCAAGATCCGCCTACATCTCCTCGTCGCAGCCGCCAAATGGGAGGACTTTGGCAACTGCAGACTATCCATTCGACGCCCTCCTCCAGGCTGGCACCAGGCTCTTCGTGCCGACCACGGTCTGGAGAAACGTGTCACTGTCACTACTATCCCACGCAAGGACTCAGAGCAGCCAAAGATTTTGTTAGACGCGGTCCTGGGTAGTGGATGCTTCACAGCCATGGGCAGCCGTGGTATCGTGTGCGGCGTCTGGGAGGAGATGAAGGACAGTAATGGCGTTGTCGGCGTTGTTCCGGCTACGGGCCCTACAGGCGGCAATGTCAAGAAGTGGTGCTTCCAGTGCGCCAGCGTTGCAGAGGCAAGCTGGGTACTGAGACTTGTTCACCAAGAGGTCATGACAATCTAAGCGACTCTACTACCCCCTTTGACAGCTTATACCTTCTCTTGTATTTGATTACAAGCACATTCACATCCTGGGTCATCCCCAGGCTCATCGCATTAGTCATTTTTCATATTTTGATATCCCGGTGTTGCTCAGCACACCATCATTTTTACATTTGTTCTTCTTACTCTCGATGCATGGCATAAGGCGAGACTTAACGATACCACATTTCCACGAACCTTTTAATATGATTGTATATACCAATCTCGTTTCTGCGTTCACGCATCTAGACATGGGCGGATGGCGTCCCGGTGACAATAGTCTGGGCTACTGGAGAAATCTTGGGTCGGGAGGGGTACTTCGACGTGCATTTTGCAAATCCTTATGAGGGGACGTTTGGGGTTTTGTTTTTCAGTGGACATAGTGGGAGGAGCGAAGAGAGCATAGCGAGTAGAGGAGTATATAGTGGATGACAATTGAATTATATTCCCCATAACTCTATCCGATGTAAACTATTCAAGGCATTAGAAGTTATTATTGGCCTCAAACCCATGGTAGTCCTGACACTCCAGCCGAAACCATCATTGATCACATTAATGCAAAAGACATGTATGGAATAAACCATGAAAATGAGCTCAAGACTCATACGTAGTATTTAGTCAACCAAAACAACTCCGTTCCCCATCCCGAGACTATATAATGCCGTCGTCAACTCTGTTTGCTGCTGTATGCAATGAGAGGTGGGATATTTTAATTGTTATACAAGAAACCCCAAGTCCAACATGCTCCTTGATGTGGTCCAATGACACATGTTTTCGTAAACAAAAAAGGACCACCCCATTCTATAGACGCGTGGTAGCTAATCATCTCAAAAGACGAATACAATAAATTCAGAAGGGGTAGAGTTTGCCCCGTAAATGTAGAGTGTCGTAAGCTCATGAAACGGGAATGATAGGTTGAGGTTTACCGCCATCGACGATAATCTGTTCATGTATGCGGGCAGCTATGTCTCCGTATTCGAGACGTTTCCAGGTCTTGATACGAGCCTCGTTTGTATCGACTTCAAACAAGCGTACTCGGCGATGGTAACCACCGTAACCGGCGTAACCGCCAAAGCCAGAGCCACCAGCGTAGCACATCCACAAGGCTGGGACCTTGGTCTCACCTTCACCCATCAAAGATAGGGAGCAATAGTCATTGCAGTGATCACTAGAAATCTCGATTAGTACTTTTCAAGATACGATAGGAAGCCCAAACTTACTGTCCTGCGCTGACCATAAGGACACCCTGCTCTACAAGGGCATCGCGGAAACCAGAGTTGTATACTGGGGCGGTGACTCCTTCTTTCCAGTCACCAACGCGGGGTAGTTCCGGATTAGCATATTCTGTCAGGGGAATATGGATGAAGGCGATGTCCATATGTCGACCAGTGTATTCGTTGTGATTCTTCTTCAGACCAGCAGCAGTCTTCTTGAACCACTCTATCTGGTTAGGTTTAACCCAGTCGTAGCCAGGGAAGTTGCGCTCATCGGGCGTGTAGGCGTGCGTATCGAGAAGATAAATTGTCAGAGCAGAATGGTCCGTCTTTCCACGGGCCAGGACTTCAATATAGTAATTGCCGACACCCTCGATATCAGCTGGTCCAGCAATGGAAAGAGAGTAAGGAAGAGTCTCCATAATGGCCATCTGAGCCTCACGAGACATGGTTTGTTCGTCGTCGTGGTTACCGAAAATGGCAGCGTAAGGGATCTTTCGCTCAATGAGGAGCGAGATGATCTTGAACATGGCCTAGATAATGTTAGAGGCGAATACAATAATGTTAAGCCAGGCAGCACTCACAGTAGGTGCATCTGGTGCTGTGTCACCGTTGACTTGGTCACCACTCAAGACTACCAAATCGGGCTTCTCGTCGTCAAGGACTCGACTAACAAACTCAAGTGTCCTGGGATCAGCTTCGCATTTACCGCCGTTGTAAGAATCGGGAACTGCCTCGCGACAAACTCCAACTCCGGTGCTGAGATGCAGGTCACCGATCTGCATAATCTTGTATCGACCATCATTGCGGATCCTGGGCGTTGGCTTCTTGACCTCTCGAGGAGGGCCTCGGCGCACGCTCAACTGAACAGAGAGCAAGCTACCGCCGGTGTTGAGGAGCAAAGGGGTTCCCGTCACAGCATACCCGTCTCTTGCTTCAACAGCATCATCTCCGAAAAGAACATCAAGATCCGTCACGGCCTGCTTTGAATCGCTAGCTTTCTTCTTGGCCGAACGCTTGATCCAGATACCCGATGGACGGGATTCCCACGAGTCCTCCGTTTCTCCCTTGGGTTGAGGTTGGAGCCTGCCGACCGCAACATCCACAACAACACGATCGTCCGCGGTAAGGTCCCCCTCATGCTTTCGCATGATGTACATGTATGCGCTCGTAGTCCATGTCTTGCCAAGATACAGCTCCTTATCGATTCGGTGCCATTCTTTGCCAAGGTCGCATGAGGAGAATGGGTTAACGCTCGAGCAAGTGACTATTGTGACATCGGTGACGACAAGTCCGGGGTGATGGGAGGGCATATAACTATGGATCGAATTGGGGAGGACACGGTAATTGCGGTCGAGGAAGGCGATAACTAAAAATGTGAAAATGGCAGCGCCAGCGAGCTGAGCAGCTGTTCGAACCTAGTGATAGAATCTGGTTAGTCAACAGCCTCTTCTGGATCAACGCTGATCATGAATGCACAGATAACTTGGCTACGTACAATTCTTCGAGTCATGATGTGTTAATTATGAGAGGTCAACAGGCTGATAAGAGTCGCTCAGAAGGTATCTAGTATGGAATTCAGGCCACTTCAAGTATGAACGGCCAGATAACGACGCTCGAAACGGGCATTCGGGAGTTGAATGGCAGGCCGAACTTTTCGCATCTTCTAAGGGGTCAAATCGGGGGGCTATTGCATGATTCGTGGGGCCAAGTCGGTAAAGGATATGATGGAATAGTGCGCGCGTGTCTCTTGATCGAGCTGGAGCTATTTCGACAGTCGCGAGGGTGTTTTCTGCAAGTTGCAAGGTGATGGTTATAAATGTCGATATGAATTGAATGGGTGATGATGATGCGATCGACAGATAAATCGTGGGGACGGGAGGGGACAGTCCGTCCGTGTTAACACCAATAATGTTGGTTGTTGAAGTAGGATGGAATAAGTGGCAAGGCAAGGCCACTGGACACTTTTCTACGAGAGAAGTAGCGAAATAAAGCAAAGCAAAACAAAACAAAACACATGACATTCACCGTAACAGGGGAAAGAAGGAACTAAGCTATCCCGCACCTTCCTAACCATAAAAAAGGGCCAAAAGCCAAGAAATCATTCAATTGTGATACTCGATCTTTCCCCTGGTGAACCGTCAAAAAAAAAGGGTATCAAGGGCGGAGCGGCCGGTTAAGGATCCGGATCTCGGGTTACAGGGGAGGGTCTGAGTTTGTGATTCTTTAATGACTGGGGAATCTTTCACTTGAATATTACTATTGTTTTGTTAACATTTCTCTATACTGATGATTCATTAACAAAAATATATTGAGACAGCCTTTCAACTTCTTGCACATGTCTCTACTTGCATGACTCTCCTGCAAGCACACCAAAGAAAGAGGCGTGCTCAGCTGTACAGGCCATTCTGGGGTTACATCAATAGATGCACTCTCGATATGGCCACGTGAGGTGAGGCCCTCGATTACCATCCAATACTGGGATGGATCATGTGGTAGCCTAAGCTGCCCTTTCTCTGGCTAGTATTTGTCTTTGCAAGCCAGTCTATGAAGCTGCAGGATGTGCGATATGGTTCGACGAGACAACTTGAGGTGCCGTTGCTCCATGAGTCGACTTGCATAGTGATGGTGTTGTTGTCTCTGGCGCACCCTGCAATGCATTGAGACCTGATCAGGCCTACCTACGAATACATAGTATAGAGGGAGAGCTCTAAAAGCGGGCAACAAGAGCTTTGTCGAGCTTCTTTGAGAGCTTCGTGGCCCGTGCACATCTCCCTGTGAACAAAGGCAAACACCGTCCGTCCGTCAAGCCAATAGAAAGCACGATTGGCTTCATAACAGAGGCATCATTGGATATAAAACATTTATATGAGGAGAATTGAAGCCTGTCATGGCGAGTTAAATAAAAGAAAGGCCTTGAAAATCAATAGTCTTCGATATCAAGTCCGGCATTTCTTTGTTTGATTCGAGATAAGATAAAGAGTTTACCCTTGGCTGATTCTAGGGGATGACGCTTGTATCACTGTGGGTCGCTCCTATCCATTCTTTGTTTGAGGCGCGTACCTTACTTCGCCCTCGTCCGCTCCATCGAAGCAACGCAAGCCTTTTCTCTTCTTTCATCAAAACATCGCAGTCCAAGTCGCAATACAATAATCGCATATCTAGCCGCGCTCCTTCTCCGATCCTGAAAAGTCTCCTAATTATTAGTTAACGCGCTTCAATCGACTTGCGCAGTATGGCCGAATACTCATCACTCAAGGTGCCTGAGCTGAAGAAGCTGCTGGCTGAGAAGGGTCTACCCCAGACAGGCAACAAGGCAGATCTTATTGCAAGGCTCCAAGAGAACGATCGAACCTCGGAAACCGCTGAGAAGCCCGGTACGTGATTCCATCAGATCTGCGATCCACCCCTCGCGCGTCGCATCGCATCGAAAACATCGGCTAATTAATTCCTTAACAGCTGAGAACAAGGAGGACGAAATTAGCTACAGTGATGACGAGGCTCCTGCTGTACCCGCCGCTGCCGCTCCTGTAGCCGCCTCTGAGCCTGCTGCTGAGGTTCCTGCCACCGAGGCTGCACCCGTCGAGGCCGCCAAGGCCGAGGAGACGACAGCAGAGAAGCCCGCCGAGACAGCGGAGGCTCCTGCTGAGCCCGAGAAGTCTTATGCCATCGGATTACAATCCACCGCTGCTGACGACGAAGCCAAGAAGCGTGCCGAACGTGCCAAGCGGTTCGGTATCGAGGAGGACGAGGACGCGAAGAAGCGCGCCGACCGTGCGAAGCGATTTGGCCTCGACGAAAAGGAGCTTGCTACTACTCTTGACTCTGCACTCCCAGAGCGCTCGCGAAAGCGAGGTCGGGATCGCACCACTGAAGGAGAAGGAAACCGCCCTGGGAAGCGACAAAGCCTGGACAGACGAAACGGCGGCGGTCGACGACGCGGCCGTGGTGGTCGCGATGGCGGTCGCGATGGTGGCGCCCGAAAGGAGAAGACGGCCACCAGGAGCGGTATTCTTGACGACCCAACAGAGAAGGCCAAGGCAGAGAAGCGTGCTGCGAGGTTTGCTGGAAACTAGTAGTTCTCATCATAACCAATGCGACACGAAGTTTTGGCAAGTAAAAAGGTTACAAATTGAGGATAGGATGAAACTGGGCAGAGCAGGCAGACTTACGTGAATGGACCATTTCTACTTGTACAACATTCTTATTTTCATATTCAGGCGCAGACTATCAAGGATAAATGAATAAAGAGGGAATCGGCGTCTTCGGTTCGACCAATGTCCACGATCAATCAGAATCTTGAGGTCCATGGTAAGTTTTCTTCTACCAGATCTAACCAGTTGTGATGAGTGGTCTTGGTAACAGTCCCGGAGAAGACAACCCGATACAAAGCAGCCAAATGGATGAGCAATAAAAATTGACAATATGCAGTGTCACAACCGGTTAGTCTTTGCATATAGATTGAACTGGTCAATATCGATCCAAGCGTCTAAGTATTCCGCTGTCTGAGGACATACCGGTCCATTATGGGAGAGATTGGGAGCGTAAGGAAAAGCACAAAGGGTCCTCCGATCATACTTCATCGATAGACATCTTACCCCTATCCTGATGTCGTGCGAACACGGTGGCCTTGTGTACAGAAAGATACTACTAGGATCATCCTTCAAGGTCGGAAGAATCCGCACGATCCGAATGGTTACACTTCAACTAAGGAGAAGCGGATCTTCCAAGATTTTGCATCTTGTCATACAGTAAGGGGCTCGATTAACTTTAACTATTTTCTGTTAGTCTTGTCGCCGGAACGACAAAGAGACTGTTCGGATACGAGCCGTAGATGGGGCCAAGCTGACTTGAAGCTTGACATGCATATCCACTAACACTCAACACCATGACCTTGCCTGGGTCACACTACATACACGGCGGAATTGAGCTTACATCACGGGGAGGTCTTCCTTTGACTCTAGCTCCCGAGAGACTTGTGCGTCGTTGCACGACTGCCGGTGCCGCGGTCCTGGTCTTGCGATGCCCCTATTCTTGGAGGGCCACTTGGAGTGCAACTTACTTTTCTCCTGATGGATGGTTGAACTGGGGGACCTTCATGGAGGAGCGGAAAACAAAAGAAGAATTTTCAATTCTCTTTCAGGAAAAGGCGCATCTCTGGTAACAGCTGAGCTTACTTACAGCTGGGGAGAGAAAGCCGGCCGAGTGGGAGACCACGCCATTTAACTTGAGCGTTGATACTTCATATTGGACAGTCCGATCTGAGCATCATATCTGCAGCAAAGCACGAGACTCTTTTTATCAGCCCTGTCGACACTCAAGGATGATGCAAGTGCCGACGATTCGTGAGTATCTGCAGCCATTGAGCAGATCGACGTCAACGATGAGTATAGGGGAAGGGGTACACCTTGATCGGAACAATGACATGTCTGGCCCAACACTTCGGACCAAGGAAACACGTTATGAATAGCTCGAAAACGTCTGGAACCAACGAGAAACAAAGACTCGCGGCTGCGCTAATCCCGCAATCCCAAAGGGGCTCATGGTCTCTTCAACGACGCAAGCCACGATCTCCGTTCTCGGACGATAGTTGCTGTCTCCGAAAGGTCCCGGACAAAACGTGCAGTGGCTGCCATGCCTCAATGGCCAATATTGGTGAGATGATGAGCAGAATAGAAGACACTATAAAGAAGAAGGAAGCGAGATAGGGCCATCATCACCAACATCTTGATCGTGTGGTTGTCAACGTCCCCAAACGCTAAGCTCGAGCCAAGTCTCAGACAACAGGCCAATGAAGACGGCAAAACCCCTGCGCACGCGATAAAGCAACCCTGGTCGCCGAGCCGTCTGGCGGCTATGGTTGGTAGAGGCGTCTAATCAATTGGACCACTCCGACTCCAGCGACTCCAGTTGCCGTTGGACGCTTAGAGCCCGTCGTTGTGCTCAAGTGTCTAGCCAGGCCCGCTTGATCATCGCAAGCGAAGAAATGGCTTCACAACCGAAAGTGCTGGGCTTGCGCATCGCTTCACATCACGGGCTGGCAAATATTGCAGTTTGATGAGTTGTCAATGAGGCAAAGCTGCACATCGGGGCCATTTGCATGCATTCACCGCTGCCCAAAGTAGAGAGTACTTTGATCTCGAATTCGAGTGACTTTGCAAGGGCCAAGCATCCAAGATCGCACCTTATTCGCTCGGCCGACTGACAAGCCACATGGACAGGGGTGGCCTGGCCTGGTGAGGCTTCACGACTGCCGGAGTGGCCAGCCACGCGCGATCTGCCACGTCAGTGAAGCCATCTCAACTCCCAGAAACCAGGGACACCAGCCTCGAGGACCTGAGAACCTGTGGCGGATATGGGGAAATTTTTGCTGTGGCGGAGTTGCATGTTGCATATGGGATGCCTCTCTTGTAGCCACTTTTGGAAACATGTTCCCCAAATCATGCCGGGTCCTGCAGCACGATCTAAGACTGATCCAGGTACGACATGCTAGAATTCATGGATAATCGGTGAGATGTCGACGTCAAGACGCGTTTGCCGCCTTGCCAGCGCATTAATCATTCTCGCCTTGCCACTATTCAAGCTGGACTTACAATATGAGATAGTCTTTCAGCTAGCCAAGCTTGCTCTAGAGACAGGGCCTAGCCGCACACACCAATCTGGGTCCATTTGGAGGCTCAAACTCTCACCGAACGTTTGGAACCTGACCTCATGACAAGGCTGCCAGCACGTATGGGATTCCAAAGAATGCCTTGTGTCTTGGAATGACGTCGAAAACACCAGGATCGTGCGTTTCTTTTTTGACTGCCGACCGTTTTACTCGGGCTTGCTTTTTTGGTCTCGTGGTGTCTTATCTTGTCCAAAGTGTCCATCACGAGACTAACAATGCATGGCGGTGAACTTTGACTTGCTGCCAACCTTGGCCAATACGTAGACCTATATCGCGCAATCGCTCTTCGCTTCGCTCATGACTGAGCGATCCGTTCGACCAACAAGTTTTGTTCTGTTGGATACCTACTTTGAGCTCCCTCTTTGCCATCGCCTCTACCGAATTATAGTACCCCATGTCAATAGTTAAGTACAGGGGTCTGAGCAAGACATAGTTTTTTGCAGCGAGGATTGGCGAACGATGAGACGCATT